TGGGGAGTGGTGGCGCAGAGGTTAGAGAGGTGGGCCTGTGATCCGAACATCGCCGGTTCACGCCCCGGCCCCGACAACATCAAAAATTGTGGGTGGGGTAGGTGAAACACCCACACTTGCCCCCACCCTCATTCGCCCCACTCTGGGCCCATGAGCAAGTCCCTTAACCCCCCATCTGCTCCAGTGGTGGAGAAAGTACTCAAACACTGTACTTAAGAAAAAGTACAAATAAACAGACAAAAATGTACTCTAGTAAAAGTAGAAGTACCACATTAACATTTTTACTTAAGTAAATAAGTAATTGCTTTTAAAATACTTAAAGTATTAAAAGTAAAAGTACTTGCTGAATGTATTACCTAATGTAATGGTCTACATATCTTTAAGTCTGCGTACCATATGTATATTTTCTGTAATACATTAATAGTGTTGCTCCATTTTACTGAACGACGCTGCAGATAATACATGTTTTTATTGTGTTTACTCTGTGACACCGTTCACACTTGGACTTGTGATTCTGTGCATCAGAATTTCAGGGATGACCTGCAGAGTTAAATGCCATAATAATAATAATTATACCTTTGAAAAGTTTTTATTTAACACAAATCCAAACCAATGAGTCATTTTAACTGCAGTAAACACATTGAAGTAAAAGTTGTCTGAACAAAAGGAGCATTAGACACAACAAAGAAACAGGCTCTGATCATTTCAAGTCCAGTTAAAATATGTCTATTCAACCTTGTAATGGGTCAATAGTGAACAATATTTTAACTTCCTGACACCATTTTTAAAACTTGGACCTGAGTGTCGAGTCATTTGGAGACATCTCTTGTCTCCTAACATCATGAACTGACACATTTTAATATTGCAGCAAGAATTTCTTGTTCAAGTTCACAAGAAGTTGTTTTCCAAAGATTTTTGAGTCCAGTCTGACTCTTTTGGGAGAGAATCTGTGCTGCGGGTGCACCCAGCTCAGGGACGTATATGTACTAGAATATACGTCATTGGTCCATCTCTTCTTGAAGGATGGCCTAACGTTACCTGCCCACTTTGCAGTGATTCAATGGACCAGCT